GAGAGAGAGAGAGAGAGAGAGAGAGAGGGGCTGCGATGGTCTGGTGAAGGAGGAGGAGGAAGAAGAAGAGGCGAAGCGAAGAAGAAGAGGGAAGAGAAGAGGAGGAAGAGGAGGATGCGCTAGGGTTTTTTAAGTCACGGGCCGGCTGTCAAAAAAGCCCGGCCCGGACCGACCCGGCCCGAAATAAAGATAATATTCAAAATTTAAAATTATTTCCGACCCAGAGGAGGCCCGCCCCGAAGAAGCCCTAAATTTCGGGGCTGGGCCGGGTCGGTTCGAGCCGGTCCGGGGCGGGCCGGACTTTATTGACAGCCTTAGTAGCTATGATTCTTTACCTCTTTTCCCCGGCTGTAGCACATATGACAGCCTCTCTTTCCAGGTGAAAGTGGAGTTGCCAAATCCTGGAGATCATCAGGGTTGATTCTCCCTCTGTTAACTCATATTGTTCTGCATTACTGGCAGTACTTGATATTTACATTTCTCATTTTTCTTCAGGCATTTGGAACACCAATTCGTGAGGAAATGAAATGTATGAACCCAAACCTCACTGAATTCAAGTTTCCAAAGATTAAGGCTCATCCCTAGCACAAAGCAATTCCTCTGCTTAAACCTTGTTGGCCTTTTGTTCAAATACCTGTCCTTTCCTTTATCCTAAGTTTAGATGCATGACATTCAGTTTTTCCTAAATTTAAAAGATGAAGTGATCCACACTAAAACGAGTGTGCGCACCGATATTCCAGAAGCGCACGTCCCCTGAGGAAGTCGTTCTTCAAATCCTTATGTGAGGGGCGTGATCATTGACTTCGCAATAAAAAGAAATGAAACTAAGGGTTACTTTTGTATTTTTTTATGGATGATCTGGATCTTTCACTACCTCCAGATGCTCTATTTCTTCTTCTAAGTGTAGTGTGCTGTATCTTTTTCGTTTGTGGTGTTATTGCAGAAAAGATCCTAGCTTTAGTGCTTTGGTGGGTGTCCGTTAACTCATATCCTCAGTTTTGGCAACTAATTTGGTCACATTGCCTTAAAGCATAAGTCAGCCGCTAAAGCACATGAAAATAATACTAGGCTTGACAGCATATCATTTCGACATTTAAAGCATGACCAATTTCCATTACACCCTAATATTCTAATTCTCTGCTATATAAATGGATTGCACAACCTAGCAAAGGCCAACAAAATTAGCCGCTAGAGTACATGAAGAGATGACCACACCTCACAGTATCCAAACCATTGCCTCACCAAATTTCAGGCACAAGGATGAAGAGATGACCTACCACCCTTGGAATTATAAGGTCATCTAATGTCCAATTATGAATCGTCACGCCCCGCACCCTACAGCGCGCCATATCCCTTGCAAAGGTCGATTCGAATGCGACGTCCCAGGACGCGCCGCCGACCCAATGCCCAAATTTCAGAGAACACGAAGCACAGCGGAAATAACCAAACACCCGAACAGTTTAAAACCACATAACCAAGGATAGCCGAACAACAACCAACAAGAACGAATATACACTTGCATAGATACTGGGAACCATATACATCATCCATTTACAGCCTGCGCTCAAAAAAATCAAAAGCGGGTCAATGGCCACTACTGACAAAAAGGGGTAAGCGGCCCGGGGCGATCAAGGTTACTAAACTAGAAGGGGCTCCAGTCAAAAAGGTTATGGCCCGATCTATTTAGGACTAAGGTTGGACCTACGGAACCCAGTCCGAGTCGGATCCCGATGACTCTGAAGAGCTATCAGACAGCTCAACCTCAGAGTCTAAGGAATCCTGCTCAGACTCGGCCCCAACTGACTCCTCCTCGGAATCCATCGGCTCGGCCTCGTCCTCCTGCTCCATGGGCTCTGGCTCCTCATCACCCGGCTCCATTGGCTCCGGATCAGCGTCCTCATCAGTCGGCTCCAAGTCCATCGGATCGGGCTCATCCACCTCATACTCTACAGGTACCCCGTCGGAGCTCGCACTCTCCTCAGCTGAAGAACCAGGATCAGCCACCTCTCCATCGGGGCACTGGGGGTACCTCGTGCCCAGCTCGGTAAACGGGACATCAAAAGTTCGGAGAGGACCATGTTCCCCGAAGCGATCCCTAAAGCACCGGGCTACATATTCGTGGGTCTGGTAATGCGTTTCCCTCACATCCACCCATACTAAAGTATAGTGCCTAATATATGACTCCCCGTTCCCTACGGGGTGTACCGTCCTCGTCCGCTCTAGCTGATGCGGAATCCCAAAACGTACCGGAACTTCAGGCATCCTCAGGATCGGGGGTCTGAAAGGTGGGGTTTAAGCAACAGTGAGAATAAATCTCAGCGAGTAGGTTCCCTAAACCTAAACTAGGCTAACATGCACCTCCTGACGAGTACTAAACATCACACAATCCATAATATGAATGACTTAGGCCCTCGGGCCCAAATCCAAACTTACCTTGGTCCTGCAGGTTAGACAATTATAAATCATAATAATAACACAGAACCCACTTATGGCACATGCATGACATCACTTGGTCACGACGCATATCATGCATATGCTATGTTCATGCTCACACTCATGCTCATGCTCACAATGCACTTTCGCACACTTGCACTCTTGCACACTTGCCATGTATCCATTTCTCCTCCGACCCGCGTAAAACGCATCAGGTCCATTACTCTGAGATCGATCTCCGGCCCGCGTAAAACGCATCAGGCTCATGACACACAACCCACGTAAAACGCCTCAGGTTGGTCATCTTCTGGTAATCCGGGCATCGTCCTGCGTAACACGCCTCAGTACGGGTTCAATAACCCGCGTAAAACGCATCAGGGTTTTATGTGATCACACATTCACAATCACCAATTATTATCTGAACCCCGCGTAAAACGCATCAGGGCATTTTAGGTGATCACATGCTCATGTCATTCGTGCACACTCGTATATACACATGTTATGCCAATGTTCGAGATGCACACTCATGGCCATAAAGTTCACACTTGGGCATTCACGAATTTCACAATGAGCATTCAATTGCATAACACCACGTGTTCAATTCACAACGCAATATGCTCAATCCGCATTTCAATATGCCCAACCAGCCTATTAGCATGACCATGAAAGCAATTCAAAGCACTCTTGCACGGTACATAATTCACACATGTAAATCGCACAATTAGATCAACATGAATCCGCGCATTCAAGGCCCGCCAAGCTACTCCATTCTTAGTCACACTAGGCACATGACACGGCATCCCAAATTAATCACAACTGAAGACAATTCAGCCACCTAAACCGCCAATCTAAACATTCCCGTTAATTACACAATTAAACCTCAAATTGTTCGCGCCTTGTCCAATTCAAACCCGATATGGACAGCCACCAAACGGGTCACTCTCGGCCAATAAATATCCTCAAAATACTCCATTAGGTTCCCCAAAACATCACCCAAATCAGCCACCATGAGGGCCATACTAGGCGCGCACAATATTGCACAATTGAACCCGAACTTAACCGAACTCGGGCCAATTCAGTCCAACCTTTCCAGCCATTAACCGGCACATTCTAAGCCACTAAACCTCAATTAAATTATCACACTAAGCCGCGAAATCAGCCACCATATCAGCCCCTAACAATCTCCACAATTTAACCCCTAAAATACCCTAATTAACCCCTACAACTCATCTAGAAATGTAAATTAGTCTAATTAGGGTTTAGGGTTGTACTCACCCGGTTTCCTAAGCTCCCAACTAAGCTGGACAGAAGGCGAGAGCGGCTGAACAGTGGCGGTTCTGCGCCGGAACATGGCGGTGAGCGGCGGCTCCGGCGAGGCTCTTGAGCGGCCGAGAGAGAGAGAGAGAGAGAGAGAGAGAGAGAGAGAGAGAGAGAGAGAGAGAGAGAGAGAGAGAGAGAGAGAACGGGAGAGAGAGGGACACAGCGAGAGGGAGAGGAGAGGGGAACGGAATGGTGATGGTGGGGTGAGGCTGGCTAGGACGGGTGGCCTCGGCGAGCAGCACCGGCGGCGGCGGCGGCGCCCCGGCGGCGGTGAGCGGCGCGGGGAGAGAGGGATGGGAAGAGCTCGCGGGAGAGGGGAGAGAGGGGATGGTCGGTGGTGGTGATGGTGAAATGAGGGAGAGAGAGAGAGGCTAGAGAGTGTATAGAGAGAGTGAGATAGTGGGGTGGTTGACCAACCTTGCACAAATGACAATCTTACCCCTAATCCAAGGGCTAGGATCAAATCAAATAAAAAAAATCTAGGGGCATTAAGGTCCAAAATCCTATCATTATTGGGTTGAAACAAACTATTATAAAACCCTAAAATAATACCCAATTAATTCCAAAATTCGGAATACAAGCCTAGGGCACAAGGGCAAAACGGTAATTTTCCGGTCCCAGGTCAAATTTTCAATTTTCGACTCTATTGATCCCAAATAGGAGTGGCCACATAAAAATGACGTCGTCCTTCCAAAATAATCGTGCACGCCCACGAAATTCAACACCGAAGTCCGGACTCAGTTCCACGATCGATTTAGCTCAATTTGCAATTTTAGCGCCTCTCACTAACGGGAGGCTGTTTAGGGTTACGCGTATCGACTTAGGATTACTCGAGTCGTGATGATGTCGATTTCCCCGAGGACGCGAGGATTTATCGCTAGTCCCAGGGGTCGCGGTTGTCCGGAACAAGTTCGGGACTGTCCGTCGCGCGTACTCTCGGTCATGCGAAATCACCCGCTATCCGATCGTACGTCGTCGGTCGAACCAATCCGTCACTCTCCTTGGACCGGCCCACCTCGGCACGAAATATTCTCTCGTTGTATCTTGGAATCGGACTCAATTCACGGTCGAGTTCTTGGGTCCACGTACCGTTTCGTAATTAGCCATTCCCTAATGGTCAGTATCCCGAGAATGATCAGTTCCGGACGAGACTTACTAAAACGAAACGAGAAATAATCATCTATTTTATTAATCCCGGAAGTGGGTCGAATTCAGGATGTTACATGAATCCAGTCTTGCTTCATGTCTCTGGATGATACATATGATTCTATGACTAGGGCTAGGCGAACCTTTTCTTATTAGCTGAATGAAATTCATTAAGAAGATCGAGGAGCAAAGCTCACAGATAATTCACAAGAGAAAAAATTTATAATTCATTGGTTAGCCATTCTATCAACGATAATGACATGTCACAACTTAGCCTAAGTAAAAGTATATGTGACTCAACCAAAAAAAAAGTATATGTGAACTGAAATGACAGGAAAAAGTTTAACTTTCAAGATATAAGTACACAAGGAATTTCCACCGGAAGCTTTCTATACATGGTGATGCCAAACATTCCATTTGGTACGTTCATCAGGTATAAACAACTAACAACTAAAGATTCTGGGGTTCCAGGTGCCATATTGTAAAGGACATATAATTAGGAACTAGAACAAGTTAGAGAAAATCACTCACGGATCAATGTCAATTTCTTCATCAGCCTCAGATAGATCCAGAAGCTGCATGACCGGATCTTGATCATGTAGAAACTTCAAGAACACGACAAGAAGTTCGCTGTCGAAATTCACAAGAGTATATAGGAATTCACCATAAGGAAGGACCCTGATTGACAAAAGTTAGAGAAACCTACTGTATGTTAAAAGTTGATCACTTGGCTCTGACATCAGTCACTTACATTTATCAAGAAAGGTAGAGAAATCATAAGAAAGATTTTAATAGGCATACCGGCTGCACAACATATGAGAGCACCCTTATGAATCACTCAACCTGTAAAAGCAGCATTCCAGCCTTTTCTACTGCAATAGCCACCAGTGTCTCATCCAAACCAATACCTAGATAACGAGAACGCCATCCTGAAAGACCCCTGAGCTCACCCATTCTGAAGACAATAATTTCTACAGCAAGCTGCTAAGTAAATAACAATACTTCAATTACTTAACCCCATAAGTCAAATATCATCTCTTATTAAGGAAACCGACGCACTCATGAGGGATAAAAATAGCATTGAACACATAAGTTACATGCTGGAACCATCGAAGTTAAAAGTTTACGAAAGAAAATGTTTTACACAGTAAATGGTCATTACAAGCCATCTTCATCTTCTGCAAACTTGTTTGAACTAAACAACATGCTCTAGAGTCTCTGACAAATAAAAGTTACATTGGAAAATTCATTAAAGAAATGCAACCTAGTCTGCTATCCAATTCATGCAAGCAGGATAGAAGTTTGGAATGTTCATGTGAAATTATCAAGTCCTGCCCCAAAGTCGCTCTAAGAGAGAAGAGAGAGAGAGAGAGAGAGAGAGAGAGAGAGAGAGAGAGAGAGAGAGAGAGAGAGAGAGGCCCTTTATGTGATAATTGCGGGCTATAAGCACAATATTGACAGGAATTGCTAGTGTTTTCAAGGAGACAAAAACCTAGCCCTTCTGTTGTTAGCTTGGGGAAGGGCAATTTCTTTACAACATTCTAATATTGAACCGCATCTCTATCCAACAGCTTACGCTTTTGACCACTTAGCACTAGTCCCAAAAATTCCACATGGAACTAGAGTAGGAGGTACTCGATTCAAAACTCTCCCCGTTACCTATTTATCTCCCCAATTATCAAATGTTTACACTTCAATCTAAGGCAAAGTCCCAGCCTACGAGAGAGGCAGAGTATTATAACGTTTAAATAGTAAACCACATCTTTATTTCATAGCTTAATCTTTTTATCTTTTGGAAATTGTTCCACGAAATTCTACACCGTCGTGAATACGCATTTTGAATAGACAAAAGGAGAAAGGAGCTTGAAAGCATTGATCAGCTGTATCATGGAGTTAAAGAGAGTTCATAACCCTTGGTAAGAAAGAAATAGGCAGGCTTCTAAAGATGAGGAAAATTCTATAGGTGCTGTAATGGATTTTTGGCTTTCCACCTTATTTTTTTCACATTGTGGTGGCAGTTATTGGGACACCTAGTCTTTCTTTAATTTTGAAGGTAAATATGAACTTATAGGTGGTAATTTGTAAATAAGAGGCATCCCCTTGGTGCTCTCGTTGCTCAATAATAGACTTACCTATCAAAAAATAAAACAGGAGAGTCTATAACCTTAAAGAATATAACTAGAAACATCATTTCTCACTATAGTAGTAATCAACAAGAATGTGTAGCGCGTACATGAGTCATACTACCCAAGAGAAGCACAGAATCTGATCTAATTAACAACAGCCCTATAGTGTGCATGTACATGTGGGGGAACACCTGTGCAAGCACATGATCACACATAGGTGCACACCGAAGCACATGTTCACAACACACAAATGCCTACATGCATGGACATGGATTTGGCAGGGGAATAAACTGGCAATATATTTTCACTAGATAATAAAGGATTTTGTTGAAAGAAAAAGTTCCAGTACATCAGTATATATAAGAAAAAAACAAAAGAAAAACAAACAAAAATAAAGCATTAGAAGAGTATACAGAATCAAAACATAATGCTCAAAGCCGGTTAAAAGGTACAACCCAGAAGCAACCAAAGATTCCAAACCCTACATTTTGTTGCTTTCTTTCCTAAGGCCCCACATGAGACAAAGGTGCGGCACTTCAGGACTTCTTGGAAATTGATCCTCCTAATTAGGAATTCCAACAACTAAAAAACTGGTGGCAAGAACCAAACCATCTTAGACAAGCCGAAGATTTGATGCAAAAGCTTGGGAGCAAAGTCAGAAAGAAGAAAGAGATGATCAACATTTTCCCTCAAATGCTTTCACACACAATGAAAAATCAAATTCCGTTTCCTAAGATTTTCAATTGTAAGAATCTTATTCCAATTTGGGGTAGATTTACTAGAAAACTTACACTCCCAAGCAATGGAAATTGATTCTCAAGGAACAAGGAAGCTTTGGTTGCAGATTGTTATCGTTTAAACAACGAAATGATCATATGGAATATTGAGTCCATGAGCCAAGCCCAAGATTAGGAGTTCGAAGCTTTTGCCTGCCTTCTTTTATGTCTTGCATAATTCAAAGATTTCTGTTGCTTTTAAGGATGCTCTTGTGTGGAACAACGGAAGAGATGGAATTTTTTCTGTATAGTCTTACTACAAGCTGCTCGATAGGGAGATTCGTGGTAGAACAGATTTTCCTCAGAAAGCAATTTGGAAAGTGAGGATTCCAATTAGAGTTTCTCTTTCTACTTGGGAAGAAACCTGGGAACGAATCCTTACTTTAGAAATAAGGCAAAAACTGGTTAACAGGTGTTTCCTCAGCACAAGGAGGTATAGTCCGTGCGGCATCTCCTCCTTCACTGTACTTGGACAAGAATGGTTTGGACAGTTTCCTATGCTTGCACCATGTTATCTTGGGCTACCGGAGGTTTTGTCGAGCAAGAACTTTGGGCATGGCAGGGCATTCGTTAACAGCACAACAAGTAGGATTAACTCAATTCCCGTGTCTTTTGGCTGATTTGGAAGGAGCAGAACAAGAGAGCTTCTGATGAAGAGAAATCTTCCATTCTATTTGATGGAAATTGGCTTAAAGTCATACACTTTTGATATAGTGCAAACTTGCATATAGATGTAAATGCCTTGGTTGATTAGTCAATGATTTATCTGGTATTTGAGCTCCCTTTCAGTTTTGGGAGTTGTTTTGTATATGGCTGTAGTTTTTTGGGCTCCTTTTGTATATGGGTTGCGCCCCCTTGGTGTCCTACAGGTAAACTATATAATCTATAAAAAGAAACTAATACTTTGCTGAAGATTTTAAGTTATTCCAATTACCCTTTATTCCAACACTTGTTATCTAATCATATAGTTTCAAGTACCAACATCAACATTTCACATATGATTTTGCGCTAATCAGCATAACCATCATCCACATACCATGCACTTATCGAGGGAAAAAACACTCTATTAACTCACAGTTATAATTCCTTTTGCAAGTAAGATCACTGTGACAAAAGGGTGCCGCTACTACTGAAAGTCAAGATCTAAAAAGTTCAAGAGAAACTTTGGATCCAAAGAGCTACCAACACACTACCAAAAACAGAGCAATACTAGGGACTAAGAGTAGTATACAAAATTGATTTGAAGAGGCAAAATGCGAGTATAAAACGTAAGTAGGTCGCAAACACCTCACACGAATCTATTTGGCATGCAACTTAGTAAACCAATTTCAATACTAGGACTCAACATCCTCAGCATTATTCTGCCAAAAAAGAGGTGTTATATAAAAAATGGCAAAAGTACACTACAAGTGCCATAACTTGTGTACGGCGATCACTTTGGTGCCATAACTTTTTTTCGGATCACTTTGGTGCCAAGTCGGAGCAAAAGAGATCACTTTAGTGCCAATTTGACCGGAAATCCGATGTGGCATTTTTTATTAATTTTTTACTCCGACGTGGCTCGCCGGAGGCTGAGTCAGCGTGTACAGTCAGCATTTTTAATTTTAAATAATTTTTTTAACGTGTACAGTCAGCATTTTTAATTTTAAATATTTTTTTTCCTTTTTTTTTTCTTTCCGTTTTCTTTTCTTTTCTTTTTTTTCTTTTCTCCCATCGCCGGCTGGTTGCCGGTGGCCGACCGGCCACCGGCGAAGCCCGGGAAGGGCTGGGCGAAGGGTGGCCTTGCCCATGGCCGGCGAGGGGCGGCCGACCCTCGCCGGCGACAGGCGAGGTCGGCCTCGCCGCCCAGCGAGGGCTGCCCTCGCCCGACGCCGGTGAAGGTCGCCCTCGCCGCGCCGGGCGAAGGAAGCCCTCGCTCGGGCGGGCGAGGTCGCCCTCGCCCGAGTCGGGTGTGGGCGACCCTCGCCGGCGTCGGGCGAGGGAAGCCCTCGCCCGGGCGGGCGAGGGAAGCCTCGCCCGAGTCGGGCGTGGGCGACCCTCGCCCAACGCCGGCGAGGGTCACCCTCACCAGATCCGGCGAGGGCGACCCTCGCCCGCCTGTGCAAGGGCTTCCTTCGCCCGACATCGGCGAGGTCGCCCTCGCCGCATCCGGCGAGGGCGACCCTCGCCGGCGGCCGGCGAAGGCAGCCTCGCTCGGGCCGGCGAGGGGCGGCCTCGCCCGTCGCCGGCGAGGGTCGGCCGCCCTCTCCGGCCATGGGCAAGGCCGCCCTCGCCGAGCCCTTCCCGGGCTTCGCCGGTGGTCGACCGGCCACCGGCAACCGGCAAGCGAGGGGAGAAAAGAAAAAAATGAAAAGAAAAGAAAAAGGAAAGAAGAAAAAAAAAATATTTAAAATTAAAAATGCTGACTGTACAGGCTAAAAAATTTATTTAAAATTAAAAATGCTGACTGTACAGGCTGACTCAGCCTCCGGCGAGCCACGTCGGCGTAAAAAATTAATAAAAAATGCCACGTCGGATTTCCGGCCAAATTGGCACTAAAGTGATCTTTTTTGCTCCGACTTGGCACCAAAGTGATCCGAAAAAAAGTTATGGCACCAAAGTGATCGCCGTACACAAGTTATGGCACTTGTGATGTACTTTTGCTTATAAAAAATCATGATATGAAGATATGATAAAAAAAATAATAATATAAAATAATCAATTCTCACATCTAAGCACGAAACAAATGATTGTGAACAGAGGCTCCCATAACCATGGTTATGCATCACAAATTAGATCCATGTAGGATCCATTCACTGTCATCCGAGCACCCACCAGTTAGTTTTCTGCTCATTTTCTTCGGATAACTGAGTTTTCATTCTCATCCTTAGCTTGTTGACAGTAAACTTAACACAGGAAAGAAGAGTTTCACTTACTACAGCGAGTGCAATGAGTGGAATTTGGTAGTATAAATTTCCCATAAACAATGATTAATGACCTACAATTTCCATTATACGCTTATAGGAGAGATTGCCAACTTGTTGAATCAGACTCAAATCAGATTTTACTTCACCCTTTCCAGCCACTTAATGTTGGTAATTCATATCATTGCATATGATATGTTCGTATGAGGAATCAACATCAGGACGTTCTGAAAAATATAGCGTGTCTCAAGATGTGCGAAGCATAAGTTACCGTAACAAATTCCCATCTCTATCTAATCACCTCCAAGACTATTCTCTGAGATGCGTCAAACTTAATTATCTATCAAGGAAAATGGTCAAATGCAAAGATAATAACGTGCACCTGCAGATGATTGAGGACAACCAGCTGAAGTTCTTTTCCAGCACCACAGACAACTTTTGATACACGCTTCATACCCTATCACTGAGCAAACTAGCATACTAATATTATAAAAACCAACAAAAAAAAAAAAACAAAGTCCTACAGCAACATTGGAGCTTAAAAAACCGGCCATACCACTTCACCCAGAGAATTAACAAGAAACTGATGGACTGCAGGATTGGTCCTAGCACCATCGAGAAGCCTAAAAAATTCCTCCTGAGGAGACGAGTCAGATCTATATAAGCAAACGAAAACAGTTAAATGAAGAAAAATGAAACGCCATCTACCACTCTGTATTAACAGTACCACTTGCCATGGTCGCTAATAAGGTTTGACAGCAAATCAAACTTCTCATGAAATATGTTGATGGCATCGGCCCACTGCTTATGCATGACTGATAATGATGTCCGAATGACATGAAGTAAAATATCAATGTTCAAAGCCTGTTGAGCAACTTGATGAAGTTCATTTTTTCTTCAGACAGAAAGAGATTGATAATCTAAGGAGGCATTCGGCCGATAAAGATTCTCAAAAGTTTGTTCTGATTTCAATTTGAGTATTAAAACAGAACAGAAAATGCTTTGGTAACACTCCAAAAGCAGTTGATGCATAAAAGGAATACTATTCTCAAAATCGAAATCACAAAATGAAGATGACTTTTTAGCATTCTCATTCCACATGCAAACATGGAGATTTGGAATAACTAAGACTGTTTTTTGAATGTGATGTAACCTGATCATATTCTCACAATTTTCATCGATCCCTAATTTTCATCCCTAATGATAAATATTATTTTTACTAAAGAAATATTTTGTCAAAAACATTGAAAACAGTTTCTATGAAAATGGAAACTAAAGGCGTTTTCTAAAACTAAGTAGGCCTTAGACAGTTGAGAACAAAAATGACGAGTGAATCATGTGACAATATTTAAAATTTTGCAACAAATTTGCCTCACAACTTTCAACATCTGAACTTCATAGTTTCTTGTGGTTTTTACTGAAAGATAGTATGATACTTACAGGTTGGGTAGAAATCTAAATCATGAATAAAATAATTCAGGCTTCGAAGTATGAGGCATCATGTTGTTGAGCTTATAATGACTCTCAAAAGTCAACTTAAGCATTTAAAATTATCAGCAGGAAAGTTCTTCCATCATGTAAAGTTTAAAGTTATTTCTAAGAAAATTACCTTGAAATTGCTCTATGTTAACTATCCATTTCTTTTTAAGGATGATGATAATATCCCGAGTAAATATGAGTTTTACTTTCCTTATGACCAAACAAAGTTAGGTACCACTGAAACAAATATTAGTGCACTTAAACAACCCAATATAATCGTAATATCAAGTACAATCACCACTACATAAACTAGAAAAGAAGTTTCACCTGAAACTTCAACAACATTAATCCTAGTGCAACTAAGTCATCTCTAAATTTCCACTCGTATTACCTTCATTCACTCTTGGTTTTTCCATAAAACACCAACTCCTTAGTTCGACATCATGTTCTCAATTACACTTTCAAGGACTTCACCTCTATATTTGTCCTCCATCGAACGCAAATCGAGCTAGATTGGCAATTACAGTGGTTCCTCTCGCGAAAAGGGAGCGTAGCACATTTAGGAAAAGAGAAAGAAGTAAAATGAGATAAAGTAAATGACTCAAATGGCGCACCAAGCCATTGTTGAAGAAACGAACACATTGAACAAAAAAGAGAACTTTCTCTAGTCAAAGCAATTACCAGGAGAGACTGTTCACAGCCTCTGCCAATTGAAGCGATGAAGCACCACCTTTGAGTCCTCCATATCCATCGCCAGCAAATCCTTCTTCGGGTTTCACTCCACGATCTTCACCTGTCAATTGGAAATCAAGTAACTTCAGAAAACCGAGTCAGAACAATCAAGTTGACCGCCCATTAGGTCGCAAAAGAATGCCGAATGGGAGCCAAACCTAAGAAGCCAGTGAGTCCTAGAGTATGCGGAGAATATCTCAGAAGAGAAACAAGTGGGAGAGAAAATAAGAGAGACAGACAGACCTACATACATACTTGATTACAAAAGTGGAGGTTGACACTTTCAGCTCTGCAAAGCTTCTGTCAAATATAATCCGAGCAATGTGGGATGATAACATGCTAACAACCTTTACCATTCCAAGGATGCATTGTCAGGGTTTGGAGAAGTTCCTGGAACATTGAGCTCCTGATCCTTTGATGATTTCTGTGACATCCTGAAAATTGATCCATTTGGGATTTATGAAATACTGGATTTTATGAATGTACTCGTAGTTAGTTCTCGCCCGGAACTAATCATCCCTGGGATACTAACCATTAGGGAAATGCTAATGGGGGATTTAAATTCGTACGACGAAGAGAAAATTCGATCGTGAATTGATTTTCGACCATAAAATCGCCGAGGTGATATTTGGAGCCACTGTTGGCCAATATGAGGATAACTAGGGGTCAGTTCGCCATTGTCATGGTAGGGGATCGCGGGTGATTCCGCTGGACCACAAAATGAATTGACGAACGACCCTGAACTTATACCAAACGATCGTGCCCCTCGGATCTAGTGATAGATCCTCGCGATTTAAATGACAACCGAAATCGTCACGAACCGAACGATCTTGCACGTGACTCGATTTATTATTAGTCACGGGTCGAATATGCGAATTTTCCCAGCGAGCCACCCGTTAGTTTGAGAAACGCTTGAGTTGCGTTTAATAAAACTTAATTATTTAATTGAGCCCAAATTGGACATCGGAAAATTAAAAAGTCACAACAGGATGTTGGGACGACGTTGTGGTTGGAACGTGTAATTTTGGATTGTCCCGATTCCTTCAGAAAAATTCAATTTTGATGAGAAATGAGGAAAGTGATCATTTTACCCCTAAGAATTTATAAAGGGCATGTTTTATGAGGGAGAGGCATTTTGGTCATTTTGCCCTAACCTTTTGATTGGACATTTTTGCCCTTGGAATTTTATGAAATTCCCAAATTGCCCTTGGATATTTTGGAAAAGATTCGATCCGGGCCGTTGATTTCAGGATAAGATCGAATCTCGGCCGTTGATTAAAAAGATTAGAGAGAGGCAAGATGGTAATTTGCCGGAATTGATCAAATTTTGACCATTTAAGACTAAGACCCACTCTCTCTCTCTCCTCATTTCCTCCCTCTCTCATCTCACGGCACCTCTCTCTCCCTCAACCACCGAACTAGCCCCCTCCCCTCGCCGAGCCGCCGCACGCCGATCACCGCCCGATCTGATCGCCACCGCCGCTTGTCGTCACCACCGCCGAGCCGCGCCGCCGCGCCGATCGCCGCCCTGTTCCACTCTAGCCGAGTTAGTCTAGAGTCCGGTAAGTCACAATCTAACCCTTGCCTAGGACATCGGGTATTATCGGACTCTTTTAGACGCGGTTTAGGGTAGTTTAGGGGTTGATTAGGGTGTTGATCGTGGTTGTTGGTGGCTGATCATGGCTGTTAGTGGCTGTTGCGTATTGGATTAGACGTCTGGGAATGAGTTTTGGCGGTTGAAATTCGGTAGAAATCAATTCGGGTTTGAATCCTTGAGGTTAGTGTGATTCTCGGATTCGCGGTTACTGTACCCGTCCGGTTTGCTATTTTTGTAGAGAATTTTGTGGGCCAAATTTGAGGAAGTTTCCTTCATGAAAGTTTCTCCCAACATCTTGAAGTATAACATATTTTAAATTTGGAATTTTTGGAGGTCATTTGGGTCGCACGAAAACCCATTTTCAGACCGTGTTGAAACTGCCCGGAACACTGTTCATCCCGACCTTCTTGTCTTGCCGAATTTTTATAAAATTTTCCAGAGCTATTTTCAATAAACTTCCTTCACAAAAGTTTTTTGTGACTTTCTTTTCTATGACATATAAAAATTTCAAGGCTTTTCAAGGTGATTTGGGTATTTAAAGAAATGTATTTTGAGGACAAAACGGTCTGTTAGAGCGAACTGATTTTGGCCTGACTTCGAGGGACAAAAAGGCATGGTTGCAGATTGAACCGGATTTTGTGTTCTTCATAAGAAATGTTTATCAAGATGTTTTTTATGATATATCCAAAATTTAGAAATTTTGGAGTTCGTTTACTATTTATTTTGATGGGATTTCGGTCACTGTGTAAACTGCCCAATTTTACCCCGATTCTTTGGATGTTCATTTTTATGAGTGGAATGGTGGGGGTGTCGAGGTTGATTAGTTGCTGCCTCATGACCGGAATTTATGCTTGAATGTGTGTTATATGAGTTGATTTGAGGATGAAATGAGCATGTTTCGAGGCTGGAGTGAGACTGAATAGAGTGTCGGACGTTGTGGGATGAAATTGGTGAGCTTAGGGCTCGATTTAAGGACAAATGGTGTCGGTTTGGTGTGTGGTAGTATGGCTGGATTGTGGTGTTTAATATGCTTGGAAATGTCGAATTTATGCCTATGAACGTGGCTGTGTTTGTGGGCCCATGAGTGGCCTTGTGTGTTTATTGAACCGTGATTTGATGGATTGAAATGTGCTTTGTTATGTGCATGCTCGGGCCAAATTGAATTAATTGTCAATTATTGAGCATGGAATTGTATGTGAATTGATGCGTGCACGGGCCACGTGTGATTGGCCAACTTGTTTGGCAAGCGAGTGTTAAGTGTGTGAATGAACGAGAAATTGTGTGTGGTGTGGCATGTGCGATCGTGGGAACATTTCCGTCCTGAGGCGGTACGACTACGCGAGACGATGCCTGGTATTACCGGAAAACTGCCAACCTGATGCGTGTACTTCAACGCGGGTTGTGCCGTAGGTGGTGGGTGTTGAGCCTGAGGCGTGTACTGTAACGCGGGCAAAAGACATGACCTGAGGCGTGTACTGTAACGCGGGCAAAAGACATGACTTGAGGCGTGTACTGTAACGCGGGCCGAGGAGTGCTGGAAACATGGCCAACCTGAGGCGTGTACTTCAACGCGGGTTGTGCACTAGGAGAATGGATGTTGAGCCTGAGGCGTGTACTGTAACGCGGGCAAGAGACATAGCCTGAGACGTGTACTGTAACGCGGGCCCTGGAGTGTTGTGATGAGTTGGTCGCAGTGGACCTGAGGCGTGTACTGTAACGCGGGTCATTGGCGAGAGTTGTGGAAAAAGATGTGATGAAACGGGAACAAATGCATGAAATGTCATTAGAACATGCATGTGAGTGGAATAGTGCTATTGTAAGTCTAACGTGCAGGTTGCGTGTATTGAGAATCAGGTGAGTACGATTGTGTGGACGTTGTTTGTGTGTTGCTTGATTCGGTGTCTGGACTTGTCTGGAATACGTGGTAGCCTATGTAAGGTTTAGGTTGTGAACTTATTAATAAGTGTCTCATGGTTGTTTTAACCAAACCATTTCAGAGCACCCGCCCGAGCCATGAATCTTCTGCCGCCGTCGCAGCTTTTTGGGGCTGTTATGCACTCTCATCATGATGTTGTAGGATAACCCAATCGAGATTGAGGCCAAATCAGAGTCGTCGGATAAGCATGTGCCTGATGAGGATTCGGATGAGGATTCCGAAGAGAGTGAGTCAGAGTGGACGCCATCTAAAGGGCGTAGGGATTAGTTTGGAGATGAGGAAGACTTTGGAAATGTTCCATTTTTGGTGTAGTGCTTATCCAGGCTACTAATCTTTTTGTGATATCGGTGGTTTGCAGTTTAGTTGTTCAATGTACATATTTTGCTTTGTGGTTTGTAAATGGCGATTGTGGCATAAGTTTAAATTGTAAATGGATATTGTACTTGGGCCGAGGTATAGTTCGTGATTTGGTGGTTTGGCAATTTATTCTCCCTAGTACCCCTGGTAAATCATTGTCTTGGTGTTTGTTGTTTCCGCCGTGATTAAACTCTGATGGGTTCATTTGGGTCGGCGACGTTCCTGGGACGTCGCACTAATTCGACCAAAGAAGGATGTCGCGAGCTCGATGGGGTTCAGGGCGTGACAATTTCAATTCCTTTTAGAAATGCCTTGCGAAAGTTCTCTTGGATATTACAACATTTACATCAAGCAGTGGCATGATAACCGAATCCTGCCAGTGAGTCAGATGAAATCAATCCAGCAACTAAGATCACCGAACTACAAATAATACTCTGAAGTTTACGAATCTCTATTTGTCAAACTCGATATGCTTTTTGAACGCTTTGGATCCAACAAATGGGGCATCTAACATCATCAACCACAGAAGCCTTGATCAAAATTAGAATAGTGAATTCAACTCAAGTTGCTTGCTTTTGTGGGACATGGTATGATTCTTTTCCTCATCATTATGTGCTATTCATGCATTTGAATGAATGCAACACAGTTTTCAAATGGCATATAGGATACCGAAAGTTTCGTCAGGAAACTTATGGAATTGCTTCCTCTGTTTTTATTTTCAACAAGTAAATGCACTAACAAGAGCTTATGCACAATATAAGGGATTATTTCACAGTACAGTTGATTATGTCAAAAGACGTTCTAGTTAATGTCTTGCTTGGCTCAAAAGTTCAGGCATACGACAGATGGTTTTACCAACTCTACAAACATCAAGATGCATTCTTTGGAACAATGATGCCTGTTTCATTTATGTCGTTATGCAGTTTGCAGGCGGATTTGATTCAGAGAGAATGCAAGCGTAAAATGTGTGGATCATAATAATTGGACAAATTTTATCCCAAGTCAGTAGCATACGCATACTAAGGGATGCCCTGTTAACATGCTCCTTTTGCACCGTAAATTCACTCGTAAGGGTACCTTAGAAACATGCAGTCACGAACAGCATGATGAGTGCAAAGCAAACTAAAACCTCACATTAGAAGGACTGCCATATAGGGTCCTTCATTTAGCATTTCTCGGCCTATACGATAACCTTTGGCATGCTATCAGATACCTGTATACATCAGTTTTTATTCAGTACCTCCAACATTCCAGAATCAATCAAACGTCGAGAATCTTTATTTTTCTGCATAGGATGAAGGATCCTACCCGAAAACTAATGACAAATGATGCGCTTAGAAAGCCTTTTCTTCTATTTCCGTTGCTGGCATGATAAGCAGAATCACATTGCCAAAGCACACATTGACTTCCATGAACATCTCCCCCGAATACCTTGAATCCAAGTAAGGATACAATCATGACATTGTCTGTCACGCCCCGAACCCCAACGGCTCGCGACACCCCTTCAACGGTCGTATTGAACGCGACGTCCCAGGACGCGTCGCCGACCCAAACGAACTACGCAAGCGGAAGCGAAATAAAACAACCCAGACAACGAACATGATGACAAAAGGATAGCACGAAATAATAATTGCATAACATCATAAAGCAGTCACTATTACAAAACGATAACCCAGGCTACCAATTTCAAACCACAATTTTCAAAAGGGGGCGGTGGTTGACAAGCTTATCTCCTCTACAACAAGGTACTCAAAAGACAGGGTAATTTGATCTATCCTTCAATCTCTGTGGTGCTCTGGCGGCATCTCCGAATCGATCACAGTCGCGGATTTGAAAGTGGTTATGTAATAACCGTGAGAACGAGTCTCAATAAGCAACCCCATATACCCCACATAGGCCAATGCGTACCCAGACAAGTCGTACATGTAATCTACCCCATAACATATAAAATTCGCATCATTGTACTTACCTCGTCATCAAGCCCATGCCAACTCTACACGTTAGTCACAACGTGATAATACAATAATAGTAATTCAATAGCATATCACAATCGCTCAAACACCAACCACACTTGCACTCAATCAATCCAATTAACTCAACCACACATCCAACCAGCCAATTCAATTACACGCTCAACCAGTCAATTCAATCACACTCAAATCGCATGCATGGCCGAAATTCTTTCTCACGACCCGCGCCACTGCGCCTTAGGTCCATTCTCACTGCCCGCGCCACTGCGCCTCAGGCCCATTTGGCACACCGGCCATTCATGCTTTCACACGGACCGCCGTCAACACGTCCCAAGTCCGTAGCCCTCCGATCAATCCGGGCTCAATTCTAATGACCGACGTAAACACGTCCCGGTCCAACACACATTTAACGGGCCACCATCAACACGTCTCAAGCCCGCATCCATTTGGCACACCGGCCATTCATGCCTTCACACGGACCGCCGTCAACACGTCCCAAGTCCGTAGCCCTCCGATCAATCCGGGCTTGTAATCGACAGGCATGCACATGCCACCCAATTCAATCAATTTCATGCCAATTGCACCAAACGATCCATATTCACAACTTAATCCAATTCATGATTCGCCACATCAACCCACAAACCCGACATTCAAGTCGGCCACACACGAACACCCAAATCATGCATATAATTTCCTCCAATCCAACCAACACAATTATATAATAATATAATTAAATTAAACCGTGCCTTAACCGTTCTAAACCCTAGACAAGTCTATAAAATATCCAAAGTACTAGGTAGGATTTAGGAAGTCACTTACCTAAATTTGGCCCGGGAAAAACCCGCACGGGCTCAAAACGGGCCGGATGAACAATAACGGGCGAGGGCGCGGGGCTCGGCACACGGCCAGGCGACTCGGCCACGGCCTGGGCAGTCCGGCCACGGCCTGGGCACGCTCGGGCTGGCTAGGCAACGAGCTAGGCGAGCTCGGCACAGGCAAGGGCCGTCCGGCCACGGCTGGCCAATGGCGACGACAGCGGCGGTTGGGCTGTCCCGGCGAGCACGGCGGCTGCAAGTGGCTGAGCAAGGTCACTGGGGGCTGGGTGGTGGCGAACGGAGCAGCGGCGGCGGCCGGAACGGCGGTGCGCGGCGGCTGGACGAGGCGGCGCCTGGGAGAGTTCAAAACAGGGGAGGTGTCGGGGAGAAATGAAAAAGCAGGGGAAAGAGGGGTGGTGGCGGCCGAGGGGGCAGTTGGGCGACGGAGGTGGCTGAGGGGAGAGGCTGAGTGGTAGAGGCTGAGCGGCGGCGGCCGGAACGGTGGCACGCGGCAGCGGCGAAGCTGGGAGCCCGAAACAGGGGAAGGCGCCGGGAAAGAAAACCGAGGGAAAAGGGAGGTCGCGCGGCGGCCTGAGGCGACACGGCGGCGTCGTGGGTGGCCGGGCGACGGAGGACAGGCCGGCGGATGGCTGGGCAACGGCAGGCCGCTGCGGACGCAGCGGCGAGCTGCTGCTTGCGTGCAGCGCGGGCAGGGCCGGCGACAGACGGGCAGGGATTGTAATGACTCGGTCCGACGAGGGCAGGGAGTGGTCGCCGGGGCCAGAGGGCCTGGACAAGGAGCGGCTCCTGGCAGGCTTCTAGGATGGCAAGGGGGGGCATGTCTCTTGTCCCACATCGCTTAGGGGGGGAGTCCTGGGCTAGTTTATAAGGCTTGGGTTCTCTATTCTGTGTAACGCGTTTTAAAGCCGTGAGGGTCAGTGGGCCCAAAGCGGACAATATTACACAGTGTAGACCCCGGGGTGTTACAAATGGTATCGTAGCCGACTCCCGACCGCGTGTGGGGCCACGCGAGACGCCTGTGCTCGAAGGAGGGAGAATGTAACGACCCGGTCCGACAAGGGCGGGGAGTGGTCGCCGGGGCCAGAGGACCTGGACAAGGAGCGGCTCCTGGTAGGCTTCTAGGATGGCAAGGGGGGCATGTCTCTTGTTCCACATCGCTTAGGGGTGGAGTCCTGGGCTAGTTTATAAGGCTTGGGTTCTCTATTCTGTGTAACGCGTTTTAAAGCCGTGAGGGTCAATGGGCCCAAAGCGGACAATATCACACAGTGTAGACCCCAGGGTGTTACAGGGATGGCGAGCAGCAGTCGCAAGCGACGAGCAGCGGCACGGCTGGGTTGGGTGACGGCGGCGCGAGGCGGACAGCGAGGGGCGGTCGGCGGCGACTGGTCGGGCGATCAGAAGCAGAAGCGGAACCAGTCGGGCGGATGACCAGAGAAGAAGAAGAAGAGAGGAAGAAGAAGAAGAAGAAGAAGAAAAAGGAAGAGAGAGAAGGAGAGAGGGATGGGTCTGACAGGGGAGGGGACGATCGCGCGCGAGAGAAAGAGAGAGAGAGAGAGAGAGAGAGAGAGAGAGAGAGTCAAACCTTCTTTTGACTCATCCTAGGGCCCTCATTAGATCTTGGTGAGCAAGCCAAGATCCTAGGGTCACGAAAATTCCAAATTTCCAATTAAAGAAAAGGCTAAAAAGACACTAAATACAATAAATCTAGAGGGAGGTACACTGATCAAAATCCGCACCTGGTCCAAATTTCACTTTTAATATATCCCGGTCAATATCGAGGCTGGCCACAATAATATCGACACCGTCCAATTAAATTCGTCTCAGAACTCCGAGAAATTCGACACCAAAGTTTGGGCTCTAAATAACGGCCAAATTCGATCGAGTGCGATTCTAGCAAAATCTTAATTTTAAAAACAATAACCGAGAGTGATCAGTTCCTAGGCGAGATTTTACTATAAGCACACTGACGAATTACACGTTTTATAAATCCCAAAAATGGGCCGAAATTCGGAATGTCACATTGTCAACCAGGAAATACAAATGAAAATTGGGCGGTAGATCTCAAAAGAGCAAAGGTAACTTACCTGCTTTATGTACCCTTAGTTAGAAAATGTGGACCATTTTCAGTATATTACTCACACGGCTGACCGAAATGGATATCCAATTGCCTTTTGCTCGTAATTTTGATAAATCCGCACTCCAGATAATTCTGGAATTGTCTTGAGTGACTCGCATCCACGGATCCTCAGTTCTTCCAAAAACTCCAACCTATCGAGGCCTTGAATTTCGGCTAAGTTTTTGCATTCATCAGCGTATAATATCTTCAGCCTCCTGGATTTTGGAAGGTCTAGCCTTTTAATTGAAACGCTCCTAGAGACATTCAGGCTTTCCAAAAACTCCAACCTATCGAGGCCTTGAATTTCGGCTAATTTCTTGCACAATTGAGCAACTAATTTCTTCAGGCTCTTGGATTTTGGAAGGAGCAGTCTCTCAATTGAATCGCATCCTGAGACAGTCAAGCTTTCCAAATATATCAATTTGTCAAGTTCAAGACCTCGAACTTCAACTAGATTATCGCAACCAGAGACGAATAATGTCCTTAGATAGATAAACTGTGAAACGTCCACTGTTTTAATAGATCGACAGCCCCGAACGTCCAAGATTTCCAACTCGAAGGGAGTGTTTAGGGATTGTGGTAATTCTAATTCTTCAATGTCTGTTAGTTGGGAGCATTCTGAATTCTTCAATAGTGTTGATGGAAGCACTTCGATGCACTTCAGAACTTGGCAGTAACCAACTCGTAGTCGCTTGAGATGGGTTAGGTGGGAAAGTGAGGGCAATTTGCAGCTTCGACAGGTGACGCCCAAATCTGTTAAGCTGGAAGGAACATTGTCCGGCAACGATTGGAGATGTCTGCAGAGAAAAAAATCAAGGCGTTGTAGGGAAGAAAGATTGCACATGCTCTCCGGCAATTCCCCTTTCAGTTTGATGCAACGTGAAGCGCGTAACTCTCGGAGCTTTCTCAACCTCCCAATACCCTTGGGTAATTCTTCTATATTGGTGTCAGAAATCTTCAAAATCTCTAGATTCTCCAGAGACTCTATTTCTGCTGGAAGCTTTCTAAGGAACTGACACCCCTTCAAATCCAAGCGAAGGAGGGCCTTCATGTCTCCAATTGAAGGATCGATCTGCTTCAGTTTCCAACAACGATTGAGGATGAGAACCTCCAAATGCTTAAAAGCAGAGAGGAAGATCGTATTTCGCAAGAATACACAACCTGCGAGGCTGAGATATTTGAGCCTCTCTGCCATCTGGTAAAATAAAAATAATAATGTTTGTCAAGGGATTAGTCTAGAGTGATTATGATTCAAAAGAAAGCATAAAATGAAGAAAGAAAAAAGACTTGTTCTTACCAGGAAAGAACTCCATCCTTTCCATTTCTCATCCATCAGGTAGTATTGCAATTCGAGTACAGCTAATTTCGTTACATGAAAATTTTTTACTTCAAAATTCATGGGACATTTTTGCCATTGAAGCCACCTTAACCCCTCAATTGAGTCCTTAAAATCTCCACTGATATGTGCCCCTTCAATACGAAGGAATCTTAGATTCGTCAAATTCTTGAATTGTTTTGCTGTGTAAATGTTGCCATCTCGTTTAGCCATTTTGTCGGAGCCTTCTAAGCTGCCTTTACTCAGAATAATCGCCTCAATCTTTTCTGTTCCCTATAAGCAAGAATCAACGCCCATTAATGCTATATCCAGCTAAAGTAATCTAAATATTATTTGTTCATATTGCTACTGACGTGCATTAATGAGTTCAAGAGACTAGGAATGTGAAGACATCAATTCTTTACGCCAATAAACAATATTTATAAAGGCCAACAAAGTAACGGATGTCAACTTCCATTATAAATTTGGCCATTAGCATTCGGGTCTTAAAAAGAATTATGACGTAATGGCTCATATAGAGTAAAAACTTTACAAGTTGTAATCTTCTTCTTTCCGGTACTGTAGCTTCATTACCATACTAGTTGGGACATGCGTGTAGTGCGCGAAATTTGATCAAATTGCAATGTGCAAAACCAAAATTTTGATTTGATCAATTCTAATATAAATATATATTTTTCTCCCTCTGTAATTTCATACTAATTTCGTGTATATTACGCGATTGTGCTACTCACATCATTAATAAAAAAAAACATATACTCTTATTTTCCATCGGAGTAATAACTAATTGCAAGAAACTGAATATTGTGATAGTAGTTATATTAATATATTACGTACTTATTATTTTACTAATAGTAACTTGAAATATTGTTAACTAATTATTTTCTAATTATAAATAACTATGACAATAATATTAGTTATATTAATATTCTCTACAAATGATTATTTTATCATAAATTTTAGTTAAGCAATAGATTACATTTTGATATATTCATAATCATAAATAACTTATTAGTTATATTAATATTCTCTATAGCTTATTATTTTATCATTAATTTAAGTTTAACTATAGATTACAATCTGATATAATCATAATCATAAATAACTGAGTAACTCAAGAATAATAAATATAATAAACGGACCCTAATAACTTTGATGTATATTAAAAAAATTAATTGTTGAAAGTGCAAAGCATTTTTGCAATGTGAAAATTGAAGCTACTCTTGGCTACAAGCCTACATGGAATAGCTTTTCCTTGGTCCCCCAGGAATAACTATTCCTGATTGGGAAAGAATAGTAATTTCTAATCTATTTTTGAACAAAATGAAGGAATAATTGCTTTATTGGAATAGATTGGAAATAGAATAGTTCTTCCTGAGAACCAAATGTGTAGTAAGCTTTACAAGAAAAAAAAATCACTTATGCATAAAGAAGTCAAGAAATAAAACAGAAAGTTCATGGATTTCCACATCAATTTCTCCGAACCAAAAATTTGTTATTGTAATTCACAATGCTGTACAAGATTTCATGGATACTCATAGGTGATTGACATAATAATTTGGAAAGGAATCAGATCTCAACACCTAAAAGTAATCCAAGAAAAGAGTAACTATATAAAAAAAAAGGAAGAAATCTTCAACAGAAGTAATCTACTCATGTTAGTCATTTCCCCATAAACTTCCCTGTCAAAATATCAATATACCCTATCTATCTTCAAGATTTCTTTGTGTGATGTGTAACTTTTTTCACCTTAAAAAATCGATAGCTAGAGTTTGGTCAAATCCCGAAAATAGGCCCAACCTTTTTGTACTTGGGATAAAAGACCTAACCTTCGCAATTTACGACAAAAATAACATAACATTTCAAACGTAATACAAATAGCCCAACTATTTAACTGTAGAACAAAGCCGACACCTATTACAAATTTCATCCATTATCATCGTTAAATCGCCATAGGTATCCTACATTCCTCACTCTGCTAACGTACACAATGAGCCATGTCAACCCACACCAAAAAAGATGTTGTGCTTTATTTTATGATCTTGTTAACAAACTTTATTTATAATCTTTCTTACGAAATTTCTGGCTTTTCGTAAAAAGAGAAGTCATTTGTGGTCATGATTAGCATGGTTCATTGTGCATATTTGCACCATGAGCTATGTAGGATGACGCGAGATGATTTAAAGCGAGAATAGGAAGAATTGATGGCAGGTGTCATTTTTGTCACATGAGTAAAAGGATGAGGTTGAAAGGTAATGTTATTTTCGTCCCATATGCAAAAGGCTAGGCTTCTTTTTATGATAGTATCATGGATGAAAAGCAAAATGGAGTCATGCAAAAATACTGAAATAATTATATTAAATGTACCTTTTTAGTTTAAAAATTATGATTAATTTCACAAATGCAAATACACTCACAAACTTAATTATACAAAAAATAAAAAAAAGTTATACAAAATAGAATTTTACAGTATTTATCTCTTGGACTTTTTATTCAGAAAAAAAATAAAACATTTCTCTTTCTAATGGTGATTGCATAAAATACGCTTGATGTTATATACACACATATATGTTATATATAAGGAATTTCTGTTCCTATCTTATTCAGTAAGTCTTAAATCAATCCTTTTCCTATGAATATTGGCAAATGGAATTCCAAACGTAATATTACATAAAATAAGTATCCCTTTCATTCTCCGTTATGGAATAATGACTAAAATTTCACGAGAAATGCAGACATCTTAGTCCTATAATATTAATTTTAACATCTAGATATTAATGATTTATATGTCCTAAGTAGTTACGATTTATAGTAACATAGTCAAGTTATTTTTCGCATGTATCGAAGACGTAATTCAAGATCTTGCCAACATTGAATACCCCTATCAATTATCTAAAACATTTCAAAGTATCTCATTCTTGGAGATAATTTCGTAATATACACTTTAAGAAAAATCTCAGATAATACTACTGTACTTACTAAGAGAGAGCATCCTCCCTACTTTATAATCACGTCAATAACACATTCGAGGGCAATAATAGTAGAAGGTTCTCTGTTCACTAGAGCAAGCACTAAGTAGTGGACCAACATTACTCTAAAAGTAGAACGTGGACTAAGTGAGCAAAAGAACGAAATGGTTACCTTATTTTCCTTTAGCACTTTATGGACTTCCTCAAAGTCCCATAACCTGCTACGGTTTTGAGGCTCCCGCTGATTTTCCTCGCGGACTATTTCCCTACCAAGATCTCTCAGTTGATCATGCATTCGGAGACCATGATTATCTCCAATTTTTATTAATGACGTGAATCTCAATACTTCAATTCCCTCATCAGGGAAAAAGCGACAGGCTTCCCACATGTAGGATGCGATTCTCTTGTCAGTGCCAATGAAAAAGCAAGCGATATCTAAAAATATTTGTTTTTGTTCATAGTCTAATGCTTCATAACTTATCCTTAACTTTTCTCGCACTTCCTTAGGAGGCACTTTTTTTAACTTGTCTATTGTACCTCTCCAGAACGGTAGCTTTTTTCCGCACAATAATGAACCTAAAACCTCAAGGGATAAGGGAAGTCCTCCGGTGATGGACACAACTTCCTGAGTGAGGTCCTTAAATTTCTTTAGAGGAGAGTCCTTTCGAAACGCATGCTTGCTAAACAGAATCAAAGATTGATCTCTATCCATTTCCTTATGGTCATAGGCGTAGTCCACCCCAACTTCTTCAAGAATACTCTTGTTTCTAGTGGTAATAATGATCCTACTTCCCGAAGAAAACCAATCACGATTACCAGCCAAATGTTTCAACTGCAGGACAATATCCACATCATCAAGAAGAACAAGGACCTTTTTACCTTTAAACTTGGAGGAGATGAACCGAGTCCCTTCATCCTCATTACGAACTTCATTTTCTTGCTTCAATATATCATAGATTAACTGATTCTGTAAGTAATGAACGCCACGCTTCCACGATTCCCTTATATCAGCAATGAAGCTACAATGCTCAAATTGATTGGAGAGCTTGTTGTAGATGGCTTTAGCAAGAGTAGTCTTACCAATGCCTCCCATTCCGTGGATGCCAATAAATAGGGTGGCATGAGATTTATCATCCACAAATTCCATAACCTTCTTCACATGACTATCAATGCCAACCAAATTCTCAGAAATAACCAACTCAAACTTTTTCTTCAATTCGCTCAATGCTTTCCGGACAACCGATTTCACCAATTCTGCTTCATACCTGTCAAATGTGACAAGAGTTCAAATATGTGGCAACGTTAATTTTATATCGTTTAGCTATTGAGAACACAATAATAAATAAATCTGGGATAGATTGAAAAACTTTAAGAATCGTTTTTGTCACACCCCCATATATTATCATATATGCTAAAATTAAAGTGGGAAATGGTGGTGGTTGCTTCACATGGCGTTGCCCATTCCACTATTACTCCAACACAATTTATTAAGCCAAAAAAACTTGAGGGTATCGCTTATGAATCTTGAATATTGTATATATTATGGATTTGAACCAAATTTTAAACTTGTTGTTTATTAAAGATATTAGGGATGATCTTGACGTGACTTTGAAAATTTTTTAGAGCATTTGAATAAGCAAAAATCCAATAAGCCAACCTAGTATGAGAGTCAGCCATCATTCAATAAACAGGTCATAACTTTTGATGCAAGAGGATTTCAGGTCCTGTAATACCAATCCGAAAAGTTGTTCAGAGTGTGATATTGTGAACTACCTGAATGCAATTGAGGGGATTTCTCCTTGTTTGCGCAATTCTACCTACTTGCAAGTTTCTACTCGCTTGTGAATTTAGTATCATTCTGGATTGGTGTTCTTATCAGTTTTCATCGACTCTAGGGATGATAACAGGTTGTACTTTATTTCCTTTTGAGTATCTATGTTTATTGGTTTTAATTGATCTAATATTGATTTTATAGGGAAGTAGAAGAATAATTTTTACCCAAAATAAGAACATTGCTTCAATACATGCAGGTGCACGAGATAGAAATTACTTGTTGAACATAGGAAACTGCATTGAAAATTATTTAAACAAACATATAATAAAAATAATCTTTTTTTCCTTTTTTATATTTACCATCATCATATATAACCAATGAAACATTTCTTTTGTAAAAATAATTTTAATAGAAACTAATCAACAACATTAATGATTTAATAAATGTAACTTTGGAAGATAAAGAATTATGGCTTTGACAATCACCATGCACCGTATACGATGTTATGAGATTTAAATAAAAACCACCAATAAGTTGTACTATTAATCTAAAATAATAATGTAATTGGAAAAGTTTGTGATGAAGATTAATATAGAGTACACTATAAACATGAAAAAAAAATGGCACAATGTCACAAAATCTTTGGATATAAGAGTAAAAATTCATTCAAAAACTCTTACTTCCAAGCGAATGGAATCACAACAATAAAATCTATAATTAGATTGGTCAATATCATTAAAGCAAAAAACTAAAAAAAAAAAAAGAATAACTTATAGAGCTCATGCATAGGATGGTCTTACGGCCAACAAGATCTTACTGTTTATATAAATATATATAAGAACGAAAACGAAGCAAGTGAGAATAATAACCAGTAAACACCCACACATATTAAAAGAAAGTAGAGAATTTGGTGAAAAATTTTACCCATCGGCTTCATATCCTTTCAAGGTGCTAACTTCATCGAGTGCTTTCTTCCATTTCCCCAAAATCGTTGGGTCGAAAGAAGACCTCTCACGCAAACGCCTCTCACGCTCATGAAATGCATCTCCAAAACTCCCAGTTTGATATCGCACGTCAGCTGGTTTTACTTTGTAGAATATAGGCAATACTATGCGCTCGTTATTATTCTTGCACTCCATTATTTGAACCAGTTCGTCCAGGCACCAGCCGCTTGTACCATAATTCTCGGAGAGAATGGGGATGAGGATCTTACTTTTTGTGATGGCTGCCAAAAGCTCTGGTCTAATGTTTTCGCCTTGGTGGAGCTCATCATTGTCTCTAAAAACATCAATTCCGGCACCGAGGAGCCCATTGTAGAGGTGATCGGTGAAGCTTTTTCGAGTATCTGGGCCTCTGAAGCTCAAGAACACCTCGTAGCAGTTTCCAGTTGACGTGGTCAATGAACTAGATGCACCGTTGTTAGTTTCTATCGGAGACGAACTAGATGCAACGTTATCAATTTTTTTTGGAGATGAACTAGATCCATCGGAATCAGTTTCTATCAGCGCAAGCATTGAACCAGATGCGCCAGTATCAGCATCTTTTGCATTTCCACACACACTAGCTTTCTTCTTATTGAGAAAGTAGAACGCGAGCCCGGTGAGAAGGATCAGTGCCACAAGCACGGCGAAAGAATGCCCAAAAATGAGACGATGCATTGTGGCTTTGCTCTGACTCTGCCCTCGATTTTCGCTTCCAAGTCTAACGGAGAAAAAAGCCAGAATGCCTCTCAGGAAACAGGAAATGCCTTCTTGTTGCCATTCTCCTGTGGTTTGATTTATATAATGGAACCAGCGGGCAACCCCAATCGCACCAATAAACTTTCCTTTTTCTTTCGTTAATTTATTTTCCATCAGAAAAGGTATGTTTTGTTAAATATATTTAAGCTCTTGATTTCATTTTTGGCTTAGAAATTGAAATGACGGAGACATTTAACTGTGAGGAGTAAAACTCCTGGAAATTAGAGTGCAAAAGGAAAAGCGAACTTGGAGGAAACGTAGATGCTCCGAAAGCGAATGAAACAAACTTACAGTCGAAGGAGTCTCATCTTTTCCTTCTCTGTTTTTTTTTCTCTTCACACCTCCTTATTCTTTTCTTTTCTTTTGCCCACCACTTCTCAGAATTCTTCTTCTTCTTCTTTATTAAAGTTTCCTCTCTCTTTTGCTTGCCGACCATTAGCCCCGCCTCTCTCTCTCTCTCTCTCTCTGTATTTCTCCCTTTCTTGGCCGTGAAGAAAAGCTCTATCCTTTTCCTTTTTCGAGCTCTCTTTGCCTTTGGCAATGATTCTATGCTTAAAAATCTCCCTCCCCACTTGGCCAAGATTCCTATGGCTTGATATGCCCAGATTTTCTTGTCTTCTTTGCTCCCTTTTCAAGATGGAAACTGCTCCTCCCTTGACCTCGTCCCCAAGGTGCTTGCCATTGTTCAGGACAGATTTGGAAATGGACATAGAGTTTGGGACCTCCCTTGACCAGTCCGTGCTTAGCTTGAGGCCACCGCGCTCTTCTCTATCAAGTTTCTGTCCATTTGTTATTTTGAATGAGACCACCACTCTTCTCTCTACTTAATTGTGAAGTAGCGATTAATCATTTAATCAAATATATTGATTTCGCAATTTCTTAATCAACCCAAAGCCAAACTAATAAATCAAAATTTTCAATTTTTTCCAGCAAATTTGTTTTGCTTGGTTTAGTTTAGCTATTGCAATCATCCTTAAACAGTTATAATTTGTAATGTGTGTTGATTCAAATATTTATTTTATTCAATGGAGCTGAAACGTGCAGTCTTAGTTCATGTAGATTAAATATAACTTTATATAATACTTAAACATAAATGCATGCCATACCTCTTAAATAACAAGGAGTAGCTACGTTAACAAAAATGTTAAATGGGTTTTACTTATTGCCCAAAATATACCTAAGCATATTATTCTCATCCAATAATTCATTTAATACAGATCTATTCCTATTAAATGATGAGGGAGAGCTATCTTTTATAAATATGTGAAGTAGGTTTTACTTACCACTCAAATTATATCTAAGCATATTAATATTGTTATTCAACTTGGTTGGTGCAAGATAAGAAGCAATTTGTATGTTCAATAGTGAGTCTATCCATTTAGATACCATTCGATGCGTTTTTTCTTAGTTATTCAATAAAACAATGCTCTTCAGACATTGAATCAACTCCAGTCAAATGATTTGCATCAAGAATTAAGTGAAGTGTTAAAAATGCAATGCATTAATTACTTCATTTTACCATAGAAAGAAGATTATTCTGATATCCACTTGTAACAATGCAAGCTAAAAGAATTGTCAATGCTATTTTTTTGGGTATCGAATTATCAATGCTATTTATATAACAACAATCCAAACTAAAATGTCAATACTTGCAATTGCAGTGTGAAAAAAAAACACCACTTTATCGAATTCGACACAATGTTGTCTGGTAACCGAAAAGCAATACCATGACTTTCTCTTTTTATCATATTGATAATTCATTATATGCATGCTATTTAGTTCTGTAAATGTTGCTTTAAGTTTGTATGTACGTTGTACATTTTTTTCGCACTTGTTTTTACGACATCATATTGCAGGAAAGTTTGACAAGCATCTGGGCCTTCCAAGTAAATTTTCTTGTGATGTCGAGACTTAAGGCTTGTGCAATGTCCATAGCCTGGATTAAACTTGCTGGAAAGGGGAAGATCTTCATAGGCTCTCTCAATCTTCCAAGAACAGAGCAGAAACCCAATAGCCTGGAGTAGAGCACAAAGTATGTAAGGCAGGCTAAACTCAGGCCAAACAACAAAAAGCTTCATATAATTGCATAGTATCGAAGTTGGAGATGTCATTTCTGAAGTGACCAACAGAGGTGAAATCTAGCCTAGGAAATGGCATAAACAACTAGAACTTTTACAAGCATAACCTCACCTAGTATAGTTCTGTACTTAACCAGCCCACAACTTTTCAAACAATACAGATTAACTGCCAGTCTGCCATCAAATCCATTGATTAAGAAAAACTGCAGCATGAGAAGCAAGAACAAGGAAAGGACTCATCGACTGAATTTGATAGGCCAAATTGCTAAATATTTGATTTGAACAGACCGGACGCTTACAATATTTCCGATTGGAAAGACACCAAATATACTGAAGCACAAAACCCCATCTTTATCTCCACTGCAAAGGATATTGAAACATTGATTTGAAGAATTTGAGAACTCTACAATTGAATCTTGACCATCGTCAGTTAAACCAGCATCTCTAAGTACTAGTCCAAGCATGCGAGGAACTCTTGGAGCAGGAGCGAAGAATTGAGTAGTGTGATCTTCAAATGCCAAAGATTTACCAGAAGCGTTCTATAAAACAAATGAATAATTACTTTCCAGTTAGAAAATAGAAAGATGAAAAAAAATGAGAATAAAGCTAAGGAGCCAAGCAAATCAACAAGTTAAAGATGACACCAAAATCTGCTTTCAAAAATCTTCCATAAACCCTTACTAATGCTGTTGGACTGTGAGATAAGATTCTAAGTTTGAAAAAGAAGTATTTAAGAAAACCAGACTAAAATAACTAATTAACTGCAAACGAAGCATTATGAAAGGTGTGAGCCATAAGATATCCACTATTGGTAATAAAGATCACGAAGTTGTATTAACTTTTAAGTTGAAAGATGCATACTCTATTCACTTGGGTATCCTCCTCCCAGTTGAGACATGCCACAGCTGCCATATGGGACTTCAAGCTTCTTAACAGTTTTCCATTCTGCTTAATATTTATACCCCGTTAGAATGATTATACCACAGTGTGCATAACTGCTGCAAGAACTAGCATATCAAAAACAGCACACCGCAAATCCATAGTTCCATAAAGACAGCTACTTTGGTAAGATAACAATCATTATGTACAAACAAACTCTCTTCTCAGCAAAATGTAATCCATGAAGACGATTAATAATAAACTGGTAGAAATCTCAAAGAAACAGAATTGCAGCAGCCTCAGCCAAGTTCTCAGCCATTCTACTCATGACCAAGCAGCTATAGCTTGATTAAAACATAACCAGTTATTTACAAACTTTTCCACCCACAAGAATAATTGAGGCAGATACAAATCATATCATTTAAGAGTCACCTAAATAATTACCTTCCTAATTTGACTAAACTGAACATATTTTACTAATAATTGACAGAAGCTATTAATTTTGATGAAAATGAGCATGTCACAGACAAATGCTTCTATATGACACCATCCACTTAGACCATAGATTCTCACAACGATCTGGACCCCAGTAAACACTAGGCTGTAATTTGTCGTTGACAATTGAAAAAGTTTCAATCATTGATGACAACATTAGCAGCGACGTGAAATTTTGTCCTAGACAAGAATGCAATTGAGCACATCAATCAGATTCAAGTCCTAAAGTATATAAATCTATTGAATGAGTATATTAATTCTGTATGATATGTTATTAAAGTAATTCACCGCTGATTTCACTGATTAGATATGAGTCAATCAATTTCCTTGATTCATAATTTAACTCGTGCATCAAACAATGTATCGTCAAAAACATTTCATGGCTTTGATGTAGGACTATGAGTCCCACAATAAAGAATAAATATTTAGGCATCACACGCAAAACTGCCTAAGCATCTCACCTAGGGTTTCTTAAGCATGACACCAAAGATGAATTGCATCACACAATCTGCAAAGCAAACACTTGCCAGGTTCAATAAATCATCAACTCTATTGAAAAGTAAAAATTACAACTATATTTGTAGACTCTCTAAAAGTTCTACTCCTAGTGGAAATAGGAAACCTCTAAACAAGAAACACAATTGGAGTATGCGTAACATCCTACTACTCAAGCTTAAGAAAAAAAGGAAACTTCATAAAATCCTAATAATACTCAAATCCTAGTTGATACTTTTTGTGATTAAACTTCAAGAAGAATCCTGATCCTCGTATGAGTTTCGAAGTCAATCTTCACCAAAAACTTGGTAGTCATGTTGCATGATTTTGTTGGCTGCATCAGGCTTAGTGGATGGTTTGATTGTCTTATACTAAATTCTATGAATGGGATTCCAATTACAACACTATGTACACGATCTTTGTGTCCTTGCAGACAAATGGGTACTTATTTGACAAAAGAAAAATAATTTGTAGCAATATCTCATGTCTGGAAATAATAACATTAGTCGACTTTAAAATATCTTTATCAATAGTTATTACCCAACAATAAAAAAAACACCATACTTTACAATTAATTTACATCTGTCATGCAATACCAATCTCAAACATTATATCAGACTTTATGATTCCATTAGATGATATTCATGAGCCACAATCCATAGATTTAATTTTTTGATTCATGACTCATATTTCCATGTGACAACTATGGGTGACCCTATGTGGTTATCATGTCACATCAAAATTGTGGCTACCTACTTAACAGTTAACAATATTTATAGACGAATATCGTTCCGGGTTCAAAGTTCAAACCGCAAAACACAAATTGACTCATGTAATATATCTATCTAAACAATAGTGCCAACTTGATTAACAACCTGACCTATCACGACCTGTTTTTATTTAGTTTATTAAGTTCTCTAATGATAATCATACATGATTTTGATTCCATAGTGGTTACAAATTACAATTTGATCACACCATATAAATTTAACATTTCATGTAAACCTAGGATTTTGTAAGCTTACGACTAGTTTCTTTTCAAACTTATTTGACATCGATGACAATATGCATATTGTACATATGCCATGTCGGTCATGTTAGGATTGGAACGACTCATTCAATTCAATCTAATTAGTTAAATGGGTTATTCATCTCTTGTAATTTGTTGGCCTTTTTAACATAAGGGTCATCTTTGAATAGAGTTTTCAAATAAAAATTTTTGTTAATCTTATCCTACTCAGATTGACAAATGTAGCAATCCATTGTTAACTTGACATAGACAGACATGACCGATAAAAATGGATTGCCATCTCTATTAGCATCTGAATGTTCACTGAGCAAGTTTGCTGTTTGCATTGCATCATGCAGAATATGAGCAATTCAGAATCTTTCCCCAAAGAGTTTAGAGAAGAACACGTTCTGATGATAAAGGACTGTTGCAGGAGGAATTTCTAGTCGAGAAGTAATGAGGGTAAGTAACAACATAGAAAACTTACTTCGACATCATGCAGTAAAATCGTACCGTCTTCAAGTCCCAAGACAACAACCTTGCCATCAGGATGCCAGCATAATAATGTTATACATTTACCTGCAGTAGATTAGAATGATTAAGAAGAGCCAGTATTGATGACACACATTGACATGTGCAAAGAAAGTGAGTTCATTACAAACAAAAAAGAACAGAGAGAGAGAGAGAGAGAGAGAGAGAGAGAATGAATAATCTGTTCCCAATAAAATTAACAGAAGAAGAGGAAACATAGAGCACACACATTAACCAACAAAATGTTAATCAATATTTGTGAAGTTAGGCAAAACGCCATAACTGTACAAAATAACTGAGAGGGATATCGGTCACTTGATAGAGGATTTCTTTGGGCTAGTTGGTCATCTAAAGCAAGGGAATCTATATCTTGTTGGCAGGCTCCAATCCAATAACTGAATCACAAAAATTTTGTTGTTCAACTATGGAACCTCAAGGTCGATTGGATACACAAAAGCTTACTTCAAACGAGGGTTACAAGTGTACTGGTATTTACAACTTAGTCTTAACAGAAACCATTCGAGGATGGGGTCAAGTACTATAGTGCACTCAAAACATTCTCCATGTCCAGAAGACAATATGACAAGCAAAGTATTCAGATGTTTCTGGAAAAAGAATCTCCTCTCTAAAGTTTTCCAGTGAGAATAAGACAGCAAGAACTACCAAGGCTGGGCATCCAATCCTAAGCTCTTACTAATTTGAATTACCAAAAGATTAAGTCATATAAGATCTTAACATACTTGGATGCAGCTCCTCTTACCCTCCTAGTCTCTTTGCTTTCTCCAATTCATCCCTTCGTCCCTCTTGACCAGATTGTCATACAATTACGCAGCATAGAGAGATATATCCTATTCAAAAGTTAAAACTCCCACCAGCGAACTTGATTAATCAAAATGATGTGACGAAATGCCCTTCTGTAATGAGAAGAAGATAAATAAAACTTCAAGCAATACAAAATGTGAGAAACTTTCCGCCTATAGTCTATATTTCAGTATCCACTAAATCTCTCCTTGTAGGGCACGCTCAGTCAGTAAAAGAAAGCTCAATCAGTAAAAGAAGAGGAGCCAGCAATAAAATTACATTGTGAGAGTCACCATCAGAAATCTAAGAAGATCTTTCTAGATGCTTGATGACATGGTATTCTACAGGGGTTAAACCCACGAACTCAAAGTGGGCATCAAGCATTTCTGCATCAGACATATCTAATCTATCTAGCATAAATGACATGCCCTCCAATTCATGTTCTTTATTTTCATGGACACTTTAAAAGGGTAACAACTCCTTAGTTCTCTAGATTTAAACTCACATCACCATCATTCACTCTTCGTATTTGTGTAAAAGACCAACTCCCTAGTTTGACGTCACCTTCTCAATTAGACTTCAAGCACTTTATACCTCTATATTCGTCCAATTCTCCATCAAACGCAATTAGAGCTACATTGGCAATTACAGTGGTTCCTCTCTGGAAAAGGAAGCGTAGCACATTTAGGAAAAGCAAAAGAAGTAAAACGAGAAAAGGCCAATGACTCAAAGGGCACACCAAGCCATCGTTGAAGAAACCAAGACACTGAATAAAGAAAAAAGAGAACTTTCTCGAATCGAAGCAATTCCCAGGACAGATTGTCCACAGCCTCTGCCAATTGAAGCAATGAAGCACCACCTTCGAGTCCTCCGTGACCATCGCCAGCAAATCCTTCTCCCGATTCCACTCCGCCATCTTCACCTGCCAATCAGAGATCGAGTAAACCTCACAAAACCGAGTTGGAACAATCAAATCGGCCACCCACACAAAAAAACTCCAAACAGGAGCTGAACCTGAGAAGCGAGCAGTTTGTCGAACTGGAGCTGAAACGGAAGCACATGCCACGACCCTTTGTCAGTCTCCATAGCTCAAAAAGCTCCAGGATCAACCAAAAACGCAGCCACCAGCTGCTGGAGCAAACCGTGAGGGAGTGTACAGAAGCGTCAACGGCAAGTGCGAACTGAGAGAGAGAGAGCTGGTGAAGGATAGAACTCGAAAACCCTAGAAGAGAGCTCAATGCTGCTTAGGGAATGGAGAGAGTTGAAGAGCGAATAGAGGAATGGAAGAGCAAGAGAGTAACGAAGTCCACTGGAGTCTTTGAGAATTTGCAGAGAGAATTGCAGAAAGAGTAAAAGGTAGGAGAAAAACAACGAAGAAGAGATATTTGATTACAGGAGTGTTATGCTGAATGTTGTGCTGAATGCCTTCTAAACTCAATTCAGCATTCTCAAAAACTCTTGGAAGGTACAGAAGTTGCTGGTAGAACTCAAGCAACTTGCCAGGATCAACTAGCTTTTCTTTAAATTCATGCCGTTCATGCCTTTCAGTTTTAGGACCAACTTTTCCAACATGAGTACATCACACGGCAAAAACTTTACCAGGGAAAGCACAGATTTTAGCTCTAGACAGTCAACATCTAACCCAACAATATCAACCCTCTTACATGTTGAGCCAAACCCAACAATCCTAGAGAATTACCAAAATACGAAGTTCTCTTCTCTTTTCGTTCGATTATATCTTTTTGATAGTTGGTTGGTCAGGGCCTCTGTCACTGGGTGAGCACATCCGATTCGAAAGTCCTTTCCTAAACCACTTCCCGTTCAATTGCTGAAAGATAAAGATAAGCTTTCTAAATGAGATTGAGGTCCACGAATATGAAGGCTATAAAAAGCTGTTTGTCGGTTTGGCTCAACATCTTAAGAGGGTTCAGATTGTTGGGTTAGATGCTGACTGTCTAGAACTAAAATCTGGGCTTTCCCTAGTATAGGTTTTGCTGGGTGATGTACTCATGTTGGAAAAGTTGGTCCTCAAAGCTAAAAGACATGAAAGGCATGAATTTAAGGAAAAGATAGTTGATCCTGGCAAATTGATTGAATTCTACCAGCAACTACTGTGCCTCCCAAGAGCTTCTAAGAATGCTGAATTGAGTTTAGAGGTGTTCAGCATAACAAGCAGAAAGGCAAGTAGAGGCAAGAAGGTGTTATGGCAAACAACAACCGAACAAAATCTGAAAGGTTTGATGTCGGCGGTACATTCCTCTTTTTGACCTGCAAATAGATAGCCAAACTAAGTACTTTGTTTGAAAGTTGATGAGCTTAGCCATTTTACACAATGTAACAACAGTCACTATGAAAAATAAACCTCATGGACATCAAACACCCCTATTGTGATAAACTGAATATTTCTAATTCTTCAGCTAAGACATCAACTGAAAAGGAATACAACAAAGATCAATCATGCCTCTTAATTTCATCTCTCTCCCCAATTGAAGTCTTCTCGCTGTTCCAAAGCTATACGGAAAAGGCCATTTATATTTGTCGGTAACATTCGCTAATGCCTTTTATCATGGACTTGGAAAGCATAAGCTATGATGTTTCACTGAACTCACATGGCATGATAAAGCTACTGAGAGTAAAACAGTGCCTCATTTGTCTCAAGAGATTATCCACTTCCGCAATTTCTGAAGATAAAGAAGACAGAGGAAGGGCCACATAAATTTTAACTCTTTCCAGTTGATTTTACAATTAACAAAAGCACTTGAATGAATGAATCATGGGAGGAGTTTTGGAAGATATATACCATGGCCTAGGTGTAATCAAAGGAATCAACATTTATTGATAGTTCCTCCAAATTAGGCTAACTTGCTAACAGTTTTGCTATACTAGGATAATCCAATTTCTCCACTAGTGCATGCAGAGTCAGAGACTTGCAATTGGGCAAAGAAAATGGCACACCTTCAACCTCTGCCGCAAGGGATAGAACTTAAGCACATCCAACAATTGAAAGGCAAAAGAATAAGATAATTTACTCTTCCTTCCAAATACAGTTACAAAAACCCAGCAAGTATATGCTTAGAGAAATATTTTGATTCCCACCTATATGACAAATTGAGTGATGCTAAAGCTTTCGAGTGTTGAAATAGTAGAACTTATATACTAATTCTAGTCAACAACTGCTTTTTCGGTATTTAGAAAATAGGAGGCAACTACTTTGCATTAATAATTTACTACGATCTTGGGAATCATGATTATGCACCATTGAGCAGGAAAAAGACCGACCCTAAACCAGCCGCTTTTTATTTGGTCTTTTGGTAGTTATTCTGAAGGCACAATGTGTATGAATTTCCAAAACCACCATCAAAGCTCAACATGCCAAAGCCCCAAGCTATGGACACGGTTCACTTCATTCATCATTGGACCTCTACCGTTGACCGCCTCCAGCCACCAAAATTTGTCGTTGTCGGCCACCGACCACCCCACATTCAAAATTGCAGAACAGCAGAACCATAGAATGCGCGAAGTGGAGAAGTAACCCGACGTGGATATGTCATGGGATTAACATTCCGATAGTATACTCCAAACATGTCTTCACTGGTGAGCGCATACCGCAAATTGATATGCAGAACAAGAGGTAAAAACACGAAAAACATACGCTCAGATTTGGTCTCATGATAAAAGTAGCACTCAATAAACAACAAGAGTTTTTAAGTCATATGAATCCCGCCAATACGAACCCAAAAACAGGTAAATATCAACAAAATGTTTGTATTGGCTTGATTTGGGCATTTTATCAAACACGTAATGAGCAATTTCTTGTTGGTGTTCACATAATGAAGACAACCCGGAAATAAACGTCCAGCCCGAAACCAACTTGCAAAAATGCTAAGGATCATCATTTTAGCATCAGGCTTGATCTTATTTTCGTTCAAACAGGAGCTAGACCATGACACTTTTGCTCATATCTTAGCCAAACCGAGACAAAAATAAATCCGTACCTTGACGAAATGGAAGCTCTAATCGCAGCCAATGAACAAGTGGGCTCGAGACGGCTATGAAGCCCTGTCACCCACGAGGATACGGGACCAGCGATGGAGCCGAACAGGGGTGTGACCGGTGCAGATATCGGAGACGGTCTGCAACGAGGAACGACAAAGAACGGCAACGGCACGAGCTAACGATGTTGAGCGAGCGAATGGACAGAGCAGCCGTGGACGAGAGAGATCGGTGAGAGGCTCTTGTGAGAGGTCTCGGCATTTTCCTGAAATCAGGCCGTGTTATGTGGCCGAGATTCCCTGTCGGCCATCGGATGGAAATATGGCGACCGGGCACGGCGGTGAACGATGGGCGGTGAACGGCGGACGGCCGGCGAGGAAGAGCCGACCAATGTCCAGAGGGATCTCTCTTGATTTTTTTTCTCTGTTCCGGGGTGTGGGGATGCTAATATTAATGGTGTAGAGCTTGACTTTCGTGCTTGGTAAGACACAGTAAAAAGTCGAAAAGTAAGAAGAGTTAAAATATAGAACGGACCAAAAAATCAAAGGAGGAAATATTTTTTCTTTTTGTTTTGTGTGCCGCCCGCACCCCTCCCAGCAGAAAAAAGATGAGAGGAAAAAGATGAGGATTTTTCTTTTAAGGTTTTCGTGGGTCACCCCAAGTGACACAATCTTGAAGGGTGTGAGTTCAAATCTTACCGTGTCAAGTAGGTATTAAAAAATGGTCCATCGGCACCCGAGGCTCCATAGGTTGACATTCATTAATCGGATTCGAGGTCTCGATATTTTACTGTGTCTAAATCTAATGTCTAGGAGAAAAAGATTAGAAACTAATGAAATTCTATTTTTTCTTTTGGTCAAGAAACAAGCCTTATCGCGATAAGGAATGGGACCTCAAATCTCGAATTTTCTAACTTTAACTATCGGGGAAATTTAGGTGTCAAAACTGGCTATGTTAATTAATCTCGTGTACACAGTTGTGCATCTGGAGCCGTATTCCTTTTGTTGTGTATGGGTTACGAAGGAGTATGGCCAGCCTGAGTCTTGGACTAAGCTTTATACTTTTGAGGCGAGTGGACTAGTATCCGGATTTGATGGCTTCACATGGAATGGCAAGCTTCTTAATGGAAATAGATGCTAGAGAACGAGTTTTGTGGAATCCAATCGCAGCACAATATGCAAACCTTCCACTATCGAGGCAATGCGGTTTGGTAATTGTCGTAGAGAGCTTTGTTTCATTTTAAAGATGTTGCTTCTACATTTACCCGTATGACATATTGATTATGCTTGCAGAAGAGTTGAAAAAGACATCTACTTTTGATAGTCTGGCAAGCTTTAGAATGCATATGTATTTTTAGTCATAGTTATTCTTTAGACTAGGAAAAGCATGTTCTCCTTGTAATTTGCGCCTGAAAAAACTTGCATTTTTATCGCCCACATCAAAACTGATCAATACCCGAAATGAAATTTGATATGATTTCACCAAGAACCCCCCAAATGGCATATGCATATGCATAGCCATGAGCTCTCCATTTCGAAAGAAGTTATTAAGGAATAATAATGCCAAAAGAAAGAGTAGGGAATTGTGTATATTTGGATATATCATAATTGAAAGTACATCGGTTTATTTATAAGCTTTTGGAGATGACTATATAAGATAACTTATATCAATCAAGATATGCACAATCAAATAGAGAGATACATGCAATCTTGAGTGAGAGATACATAGAATCAATATGAATTATCATATATCTCTAACATAGGAAATTATCCTAGAGAAATCCCTAATTATCTCTAATTATCTTTAGCATCACTCCTCAAATTCTAGGTGACTAAGTCAGCTTGAGTTTGAAATAGTGCCATGAAAACTTATTTCTCCATGAAATCAGCACTCAATGGATCAAGGTGGGCGGTGCATGTGATGGCTCCAAGCTTCCATTGACAACGTAATTTTAATATTCGTCTAACGGTAGTGAGTTTGGTGGTGGTGTCGGCTTCTCAAAACGTGAAGTGAAAAGTCGAGAAATGGAGGCTAACAACATGCATCTTTTGTGATTGACTTTGCTATTGGAGCTGAACAGCATGCATCCTTTATGGTTGACTTTGTTGTCATAATAGTAACTAAACAAATGCAGCCGATACGATTGGTGTGGCTACAACAAGTGGAATAAGCCAAGTTTTATTGAACGAAAGTTATTGTCAGAAGATGCATCTTCGTGGCATCGTAAAATTACCTCCGTGAAAAAGAAAAGCTCAACAAGCACTCGAGCGAACAGTATCGAGCTGCGGGATGAGTTTATTTTGCTATGGGATGTATCGAGTGCACCCAGTGCACTAGAGTTGCCTCAAGAAAGAATGCTCTAATACAAAGTTAAGAAATAATAATGCAGAAGATAAAAATAAGGAATTTGGTATGTTTCAATATATCATAATTAAGAGTGCATAAGCCTATTTATAGGCTTTAGGAAATGACTATCTAAGATAATATATTTCAATCAAAATATGCATAATTAAAGGGAAATATAAGTGCAATCTTGAAAAATACACTTAATTGATAGAATTATCAAACATCTCTAATATAGAAAATTATCCTAAAGAAATCCCTAAGTATCCATAACAGAAGTGATGGAGAGCAGATTGATTAAGATGGCCAGAGGTAGCATGAACAACCATTAGAAACCCAACAGGGTTTTGGCTCTTATGCTTTTTGTATCTGTGAAATGTAAGTCTGGTTAAGAGTACAGGGTGACCGTGGTTCAACAGGGAAGATGAGACTAGGAGGAAATGGACAAACATTATTAGGGAAAAGCATGGTTCGGGGTAGAATCGGGAATCAAAGAATCCTACTGGTGAGAATCGGTCAAGTTTCAAGGTTTACAGGGTAGGTTCTAAATTCCAAAAATTAGATAACAGATTCCGAGGGAAAAGTGCCAAAAAAGTCATAAACCTTTTACATTAGTGCCAATTTAGTCCTAAACCTTTTTTTTGTGCCAATTCAGTCCTAAACCTTTTGCATTGGTGCCAATTTAGTCCTAAACCTTTTTTTGGTGCCAATTAAGTCCTAAACCTTTTAAATTGGTGCCGATTCAGTCCTAAACCTTTTGTTTTTGTGCCAATTTAGTCCTTTCGGTCAATTTTGATCAGAATTTGCCGACGTGGACGCCTACCGGCCGGCGGCCGGTCACCGGCGCCGACGTGGCGCTAACGTGGACAACTTTAATAATATTTTAAAAAAATTTTGAATTTTTTTTTCCACTTTTTTTTTGGTCCCCCCCTCCTTCCTCTAGCCGGTCGTCGGTCCAGTGACCGGCCAGAGGCCAGAGGCCGGTGAGCTCGACCTCGCCGGCCACTGGTGAGGGCGGCGGCCTCGCCTTGGTCGGGCGAGACTCGAGCCCTCGCCGGAGGCCCCGGCGAGGGCGAGCCTCGCCATGGTCGGGCGAGGCCCGACCTCGCCGGATCTGGCGAGGTCGTTGGGCGAGAGAGAGAGAGAGAGAGAGAGAGAGAGAACGCAGATGGAAATCGCCGGCGAGGTCGCCGAGCGAGGCTCGCCCTCGCCACGGCCTCCGGCGAGGGCTCGAGCCTCGCCTTGGTCGGGCGAGGCTCGCCCTCGCCGCGGCCTCCAGCGAGGGCTCGAGCCTCGCCCGACCAAGGCGAGGCTAGCCCTCGCCAAGCGAGGCCGCCGCCCTCGCCAGTGGCCGGCGAGGTCGAGCTCTCCGGCCTCTAGCCTCTGGCCAATCGCCGGACTGGCGACCGGCCAAAGGAAGGAGGGGGGGACCCAAAAAAAAATGGAAAAAAATAAAAATTCAAAAAAATTTAAAATATTATTAAAGTTGTCCACGTCATCGCCACGTCGGCGCCGGTGACCAGCGGTCTGCCGGCAGGCGTCCACGTCGGCAAATTCCGGTCAAAATTGACCGGAATGACTAAATTGGCACAAAAACAAAAGGTTTAGGACTAAATTGGCACCAAAAAAAGATTTAGGACTAAATTGGCACTAATGCAAAAGGTTTAGGACTTTTTTGGCACTTTTTCCTATATTCCGACATGTAGGTCTAGGTTCCAAGTCTATGAACCTAGAACCTGGAACTTAGAACAAGTTTTTGTATTTTTCTTGTTCTATATTGTCGCGCAATCCTACAATGTTCCATGACGTCTAATGATGAGTGTGTAATCTAAAGCCACTAGTCTGAGCTTCCATATATCCATGACTAAGACTTTTACTTTGCTAATGTTTCATTTTTTTCGCATGTTTAAATATAAATTATGATTAATGGATTGTAACAGCAAATGATAATCATTAGAAGTGATGATTCATTACAATCGTTTAATTAAGAATATAATTAGAACTTGGGTAGACCATGAAACCCGCGACAAGGTAGGTTCCAGGTTCCAACGTATAAAAAATAGGTTACGAGTTCCAAAAAATGAGAAACCTGTTTTCACGGGTAAGTTTCAGGTGGACCTGCAAGAAACCTGAAATTGCTCATTCCTAAATAAGAGAATGCATAAGCATATAAAGAGGACTTCTGGGAGTCTAAATAGAGGTTTTTATGGTGCTTGACCTTGCTTTGCTTTTTAGAGAGTAGGGGAAAAAGAAAACACAAACCAATAGGGGGGGGGGCGGGCGGGCGGCGAGAGAGAGAGAGAGAGAGGGGTTTAATTGGTAAAAGGACTTTTGTGATATAATCGAAATCAAATCACATTCACTTGGCAAACTATGCAACTCTAGACTGCATCTACAACTTCATCATTGCCTCTACAAGCAGATTTTAGATAATGTAGAAAAAGAATGACGAGGCTTTTTGAATGCTATACATGTATGTGTTTGATTTGACGCCACGATAAGCATTTTTTAGCTTCCATAATACCACACTAGTCACATTTTGAATTATGTCATTTCTACATATATTGAAAATTTAGAAATACTGTGAAGACATACATTGCCAAAGAGGCTGGCAGCAAGGATGTCAACGGTTCGGGTCACTGAAAATGAATAATGTGTTTGTTATGGGTTAGTTCACATTTTGGGCTATCTTCTTCTATTTTTTTTAAAAATTTTGAATGGAACGAGCGGCAGGAGATGGAGGCCTTGTTCAAGTTGAAGCAAGCAACCTGTCAAAATCACTTGCATGCATACCTTTGCGCTTCCCTTCTCATCATGGAAACAAAAGAAGCATTTTCCTGATTCCACTAATTAGTAACTTTACCGTACAGGAGAGCTATAGAATCACCTTCTTTTGTCATTCTTAAGCATAGTCATCGTCGTCTTCTGCTTCTTCTTCAAGATTGGAACACTTGATGGGCCTCCATAAAATTCACATACACGAAGATGTCATCCTGGCTGTCCGAGACATCAAAAACAGCGATCCTTAATGTTGAACCCCGCAAACAAGTTCTCATTTTCACTTCGCGGGTGTAAAAAAGAACACTCGCTTTCAATTGACTTGAATTGAGAGGAGAGAGAAGAGTACCTCTTTCGCAGAGACG